CTGTCAAGGCTCGCTGGCATCAACCAGCTCCCTCCCATCCGTGTCGGCATGTGTGAGGCACTGAGGGCAACGAGCCCCAAGCCAGTTGCCTACCAGACCGGAGTTCTTGTTTATTGGGAGAGTTGCAAAATGAAACGTGAGCGGTATGCTGGTCTGAATTTGTTTTAGCTGGGCAATATGAACAGTAACTGAAGGCGTTAGGGCCTTAGGGGTAGGGGGAAGGTTTTCGTTCACCAACTGCAGGGTCATCGTTGTGAAATAGTACGAATTTTGAGAGCAAATCACAGGTAAGTCTTCAGAATGAGGGCGTATAGGCAATTGTGTTGTGCCTTCTTCTGTCTTTAGTTTTTTTCTTTATTTTGTGGGTCAACCCTTTGAGTCTTGATTATTTGTCCTTTTCGTCACATAAATAATTGTGACACTTTGACCTTGTCTAAGTTAGAAATCTATTAATTTGGACCTATGGACACATTTTACCCGTTCTCTTTCTATTCTAGACAACAAAATGAAGTCTCATGGTTATTGCTTTTATGTTTCAATCAATGAATATTTCAAAATAATAATGCACATATGACACGTGCGTTTTGTAACAACAATATGGAGGTATCACCCATCACAGATGAAAAAGTATCTCTCCCATCCCATGGAAAATATTGGAGTTAGTATCCTCTACAGAACTAATATTTTTTGTCAAGAACTTCCCATTGGTCTGACCATTCAAAAGCTGGCTGCTGGAGCCTCACTACCCTATAGCAAAAAAAAAAGTAATACGTAACTTATATTAATATAAGAACGTAACTGGGTAACCAACGGATATATAAACTAGCAATGATAAGAACAAGATAAATAACACGGTGATCTCACTTGCAAATTGATAGATTGGAAAACATTTACCTCATTTGAAATAAGCACAAAATGATAAATAGTCCATTTAAATTTTTTTGCTAATATATAATTTAAATAGTTGATTCAAGAATCCACCGCATTCTGCAGACTAATGACTATCGATATGTCAAATAATAGACTCCAATACATGATTGTCTCAAGGGTTAGAAAACAAATATCGTTTATGGCTCAAGACATCCCTTTAGACAACCCTGTTCGCTCGAGCTTATTGAACATTACTCTTCAGCTATGAAACATTGTTTTCCTCGAGGATTAGAAATATTGTGAAAGGAAAACACTGTTGATAGATTGGGAAAAATGATGTTATGAGTTTAACAACGTGTATCAGTACTTCTTATTATGTGTCCATAGGTAAGACATAATAAGGAGTAAAATGTGTACTCACTCCGTCCCAGAAAAAGTGATGTTCTGTGCTTTAAAATTTGTCCCAGAAAAATTATGTTATGAGTTGTAGACACGTTGGCCCACCAAATCCAGCACCAAATTACCAATTGAGATGCGCTACCGTTTGTTACCTGATCTGTTGCATGCAGTGCATCTTAATTAGGAAGTACACCACGCGACATCCCTTCTTTTAAGGGAATCATGTGTGATATACTAAGGGTATTAGGGACATTTCTTTTCTCCACTAAACTATCTGAAAAATCCCAGAACATCACTTTTTTTGGGACAGAGGGAGTACTAATCAATATCATGTCTTATTATGCGAAAGCAAACAATATCATTTGATATGTACTAATCATACACTAACAATATCATTATGTGAAAGTATCTCTACACCCCTAAAAGGACTGAAACGTCATCGTCTACATGGTGATATCAAGTCTCGATCCTTGTTCACGCGTCCACATTCGCGTCCGATACGAATCATCCTCCATTACATCTAAAAAGAAGGAAACGTTATCATCTACCTGGTGATACCAAGTCTCAATCTATGTTCACATGTCCGCATTCGATACGAATCATCCTCCACTCGGAGTTCACGCGTCTGCGTCCTACCCGGTTCCGATATGAAGACTAGATTCACGTGTTCGCGTTCGATATGAAGTCTCACGCATGAGGAGCCGGCCATAGTATGAATAGATCTAGGAGTTATTAGTCGATGGTACTACTACTATAGCTCTTAGCCTCCTAGAGCATCTCGAGTATCCTAAATCTCTTCTCAATCCTTATTTTTTGGCAAGATTGGTAAAAACTCCTCCCAACAACTTCCAATCCATCCTTCAAAACTTTTGGCACTTGGGAACACCCCCCCCCCCAACCCGTGTAAAGTTACGCATTGTGGTTATCGCACGGATCTGTCTCCTCCCGCGCGGTCTCCATCTTGGCGCGGTTTCTTCTTCCCTTCACACCTTCTGTTGCCACCGTCTAGAGGAGTTCTTCGCCACCGGGCTCGTGAGGCAATCACACGCACAAGCAGGGGCGCAGATCACAACACAACAGCATGGAGGTCTCGTTGTCCACTGCGGCGGAGGTCCCTCACTATTTCCTCTGCTTGATCTCCCTGGAGGTCATGCTTGACCCGGTCACACTCGCCACCGGCATCACCTACAATCGTGCCAGCATCAATGCTGGCTCTTCACCAACGGCCATGCCACCTGCCCCGTCACATGCCGCGCGCTGGCGCCCGTCGAGATGGACACCACGCCTAACCACTCGATGTGCCGTCTCATCCAGGCCTGGTGCACCGCGCACCAGGTCGAGCGCTTCCCCACGCCGAGCCCGCCGCTCGACTCCGGCCGCGTCGCCGCGCTCCTCGACGAGGGCCGATATGGCAGGGACCGCCAGGCGGCCGCCGCGCTTAGGGAGATAAGGCCTTCGTCGCCAAGAGCGAGTGCAACAGGCGCTGTGTCGAGGCCACGCCAGGCGCCGTCGACTTCCTCGCCTCACTTGTCACCAAGCACTCCTTCGCGCCTTCTGTTGTGGACGGGTGCGAGCTCCGGTGGTGGGAGGTGCAGCGGCCGGCTGGGAGGTCGTGGCCGCAGGCAGGGAGGCGGTGGCGTCGAAGGGTTCGGCGCGACTCTATGATGTCGCGCAAAAAGAAAACACTGTCGGAAAACAATCCTTCTGCGACCAAAATTTGATTTTTTTGAAGTGATTTATTGGAGACTCTTGAGATGGATTTCTTTTTTTCTCCCAATACCTTTTTGGGAGTTGTAAAACAATATGTTTTTTGGAGGAAAAAATAGGATACTCTTGGAGATGCTCTTATGTTAGAACTATTTGAGATATACTCTCTTCTTCAAAAGAATTCTCTCTCACGGTAGTCAAATACATTCTAAATTCAAATCAAATATATAAAAACTATTAGTATTTTTTTATGGGTTGTAAATTAATTATGAAATCTAATTTTATAATAAACTTATTTAAAGATAATAGTGCCCGATACTACTCTCGTCGTCTCGCTCCCACTGACGAGTGTTCTGCTTAAAGTATTATCTAACATTACAACACATGTTTGAATATGAAATATCATGTGATTATTTTTTCCATTATAACGCACATGCATGATTCAAGTACACTAATAACATCATTAGCTAGGTAAGCGCCTATATCCAATGAGCCTAGTTGTTCATAAATGCTCAAAATATATGTATCTGTGGTGCCAAGCTAAGAGGTATCTTTTGCATTCTACAAGCCAGGCCCGAAGCATTACAGATAACCTTAGAGCATCTATAACAGCTCACCAATAAATCATCCCCAATAGAATGGTATCGGTGGTCACCAACAATACTTTTTTGAAATATTAGGGGAGATGTTCCAGCAGATCACCAATAATCTTTCTCAATGCATGGGACCGACATATCAGAACAGAGGATGTGGGAGAAAAAATATGACACTTGTTGTGGTGCCAACACTATTCGGGGAGATGCAACTTCACCTTTATTTGAGAGGAGATATGGAGGAGATATGATGATAAAAAGAGAGAGATAGAGTGCTATTAGGAGCCGCTGGAGCAATGAAATTGTCTCCGTCTCCCTAATATGACGTTTTTAGGGGGACGATGGATGATATTGGGTGCTGGAGATGCTTTGCGTCCCACTACGAGCCAGGGGTAGGAGTCATTTTAATACACCCATGTTGTCTGTACACGCACATCCTTGTCACTCAGGCTGTACTACCGGGCTTTGGTCCGCGCCATGCCCCATGCTAGGCCACTCAACCAATCACCCTCTTATTGGGTGGAATTTAAAAAATCGAAGTGATTAGATGTATGGTGCGCTTTTTTATGCAATTTTCGTTGAAATAGAGTGGAGTGTAATGTAATAAAGTGGTGAGGAGCTTTCAGGTACAGCTGGTTCATTGCATTATTGAGCTCCGTCTGTCCGTAACTCTGTATCCCCAATTCAATGTTCTCTCCCTCTCCTCTCCGGTCAACAGCGAGACGAGCCGAGAGTAGAAAGGTGCGTACATGGTAAAGTATCTCTGTTTGCAATCAATGAAACTTATGTAAAAATCATGTGCGGCTGTATGAAGAAATCTCTGTACAAGATCTCAAATGTTGCTTTATTTGCTCAGCAGTACCTGTACCACGGTCTCGTTTTTTCTTAGCAGTTTTTTTAGTGTTTCAACATCTGAGCAGAAGAAATATCTGCCTTCTTCTGTTGATTCTTTCCCTCTTGTTTTTTTCTACAACAGATTTAAGTATTAAAATTAAAATTACTGATGGAACATAGATCTGGTTGGTGATCTGAGGATTCTATTTCTTAAAAGTTCAGATCCGGACTGTATTATTCTGGCTTGAAGGACCAGGTCACCAGGCATAATCTCGTTTGCATCTGAATTCCTGTTTCCGTGTACGGGTCCTCCCCAACAGGTTTAATATATCTTCTTGTGTGATTGTCCTGCCTTAGTTTCTGATGGGTTTGGATATTTTCAGTGCAGATCTACGGTTTCATCAGAAAGCTTTGCTATTTCTGCTCCAATTTGTGACTTGTTTGTGTTTCTTATTATTGCAAAAACCTAGTTTTACCGTGTCATAGAAAAGACAAGACAAGGATGTATTTCTACAAACTTTTTTTAGGCTACTAGCCTACTACCTTGATGCAAAAGAATAAACACATGTGGATTACTCTTCAACCAGAAGCAAAAGCATGCAGAACAGGGCAGGCCGAATATTTGATGATCCAAGGAAGCTAACATATCAATTGGTTAAAAAGATAACAAATGATTTCACAGATGAACTTGGCCGTGGTACGTTTGGACGAGTGTTTAAGGTATCATGCTTGAAATTGGGCATCTTCCTTCATTTTTTAGTTGTACAATATAACATGTTCTATAAATTCAGCTACATTTGTAATGTTTTACTTCGTTTCTTCTCTTCTAGTAATTGTGTGTAAACATTTGCGCAAAAAATATTCAGCAAGCCCGTTACAACAATTGATGCATATTATCATCCAATACTATTTATACAAACTAAACATAATGCGTTTTAAGTAAAAGTGGACTGATTCTAAAAATTAGTTTTCAATTTCTCACACAGATTTAATAAAAAGTTCCAAGTCAAAGACATTGTTAAAAGATGACAGGATGTGGGTGTGTGGGATCATGACTTTTTAGAAACTACATCAGAAAGGATAAAGGTGACAGGATGTCTCAAAAAACCATGGGTAAAAAGTATGTCAAAAATATATTCTGAAGAACTTATCATGCAGCTCTCTTCTGTCTTCTGGGTGTGTGGGATGTGTTTTGATTGGGTTCTTATACCCTCTTTTCTTGATACGCAACATTCTTTTTTTTTGTGACTTGATACGCAACATTCCTGTATTCCTGAGGAAAGAAAACTTATCATGAATGGATGGTTTTATAAATAGAAACTGTATGTGATGTGCTAATGTGATACAGCCAAAACTGAAAGGAAAAACCATCAGAAAAATATATCACAAATGTTATTTTTCTGAAAACCTAATCATGACTCTTTTTAAGGCAAACTTGTTTTGGATGGCGTAAAAAACAGCCTGTTTTGAGACTGGCTATAATAGACATGTAAAAGTAAAACCTTAATTTTCTTGTGGATTGATTTTGTAGTTAGCTTTGGTTGTGGGAGGATGTGGACAATGATTTTGTTGTTAGCTTTGGTTGTGCAAGGATGTGGACAAAACGAACAGAGCTAATCATTATTTAATTTTATTTCTGTCTGTTACTGTTAGCATAGGAACAAGTCCAAAACTAGTATTGGTAATTGCAAAAGTTGATGAATAGGGATTGCTTGAAGATGGAGAAGAGGTTGCTGTTAAGGTACTTCATTATTTCACACCAGATAGCAGTGACCAGCAATTCCAAAATGAATTTGAAAACCTTAAGAGGCTCAAGCATCCTAATATTGTACGTCTAGTGGGCTTCTGTGACGAAACTGAGGATGAAATTGTAGAGTACAAAGGAGAAATAGTAGTTGCTAAAAGGATACACAGGGCACTCTGCCTTGAATATGTGCCCAATGGAAGCCTGGGCAAGCTCCTTTCAGGTTTGTGCTCACGGTACGTACGTATACGTACGTACATACATACATACATACACACACATAATTTCCCTATATATTATATGTTAAAAATACTATGTTTGCTCATGCAGGTGAATTTCTAGGCAACAACTGGCCCATACGCTATAAAATTATTAGGGGAATCTGCAATGGTTTAAAATACCTTCGCGAGGAATTGGAAGTTCCCATTTTCCATTTTGACCTAAAACCAGACAATATACTGCTAGATGAAAAGATGGTGCCAAAAATTGCAGATTTTGGATTGTCTAGGCTCATTGGTGAAGGGAACACCATAAAGACAATGACTCCTCTAGGGACACTGTAAGATTAATGTCTTAAGTGAGCATTACATTTAATCATCTAAAATTGTCCTTACTTCTTAATCTCACTTGTCATTTATGTTATTTTGCAGTGGATACTTGCCGCCTGAATTCATTAACAATCAAGTAATCTCAAAAGAGTATGACATATTTAGCTTAGGTGTTATAATTGCACAGATAATCATTGGAATTACAGGATATTTCGATATTGTTGATATGGGCGCCCAAGAACTTATTGATTATGTAAGGATTTTAGTCCTAGAGAGCTATTTGAAGCTTTTCATTGTAGCAACCTGGCATCACACCATGTTTCACCCTCCGTCTAAAAAACAATGCAATTCTCACTTCTCAAGGAGTTAAATAATTTCAAAGTTGACCAACTCTATGTAAAAAGTATTAGCTTATGATATGAATAAGTATCAATAGATTAATGATGAAATATGTTTTCATAGTAAACCTATTTGGAGAAATAAATGTTGACATTTTTCTATATATTTGGTCAAACATATGAAAGTTTGACTTGTCCCAAACCCAGTAGTACTCAAGAATGTTAGTACTTAAGAATTTATAACCATTTCATAGTAAACGAAAACAAAAATATGTGTCAGTATCACTATGTAGACTCTACATGTTGTGCTTTTTGTATTACTGTTAGATATGTATATATCTAAGGGTCTAATTATAATTGTACTGAAGTCCTTAGTGACGATATATATGAAAGCCACCCAACCCAAGGGGTGTGAGATGTTCTCCTAATTCGTGTCTACAGTTACCATTGGTAGTACTAATTCCCTACGTTTTACTATTACACTTAATTTTTATCTTAAAACATGTATTTCAATAGGCTCCGTATATCCCAAATTCCTTAATATTAATGTCCTTGTGATTCATTTACTTTGTGTATCTACTTTGAAGGTACATGAGAGCTGGAACAGAAGATTACAAGAGATACCGAATTATGAATCACTTGAAGTAGATTGCAAACAAGTCAAAATATGTATCGAGATAGCAATTAACTGCATGGAGAAGAATCGACGTAAAAGACCTACAATAAAGGATATTATCAGCAAATTGGATGAGACTGGAACTGTGGAAGTAGTTTCACATTTTCAAATGAAAAAGGTAATATCATTCACATTCTATATGTAAAACATGGAAACAATATATCTTTGTGCACAAATATTACATGTGGGCATGAATACAGAATGTTTTGACATCCACGTAACAAAACTTTGACTCTGTGTCTATCATTTTCAATATGTGGGGAACATGAAAAATTATTAAAAAATTATTTGTCTAAAATATTTTCAGAACACTAAAGTAAGAAAAAAAAACCTGTCAGTGTATTGTTTTCCTCAATGTGGCATTGAAATTTTTGTTGTTTGCTTTTTTGACATTGTTGTTAAGTTTGGTTAGTATGCCCTTACAGTTTTGGCATTGAGAATAAACTTAACCAAGCTAAGAAAGGAAAAAAATAAAAAAATCGTTCATTTTTTTACTGCAAACACATCCATCTATTAACTGTTTTTATTTTGACAAGGTAGATACTGTAATTTTCAATTTATCTCTTATTCGAAGTCATCTGATTGCAGCCTCTAGCATGCATCCGACACAATTATGTAGGGAGCAGACTGCTGCTTTTTTTTTCCTTTCTAAAGCTCCTTTTTCTTTTGTTGACAGGTCGGTGGCAACAAAGAACCCGTAATCTTATCGAGTGGTATTGTGGGCGGGCCATACAAAGGTTGGTTACGTTACATCTGATTAAGGGCCTATTTGATACACATGGCTAGTTACTGGTTGGAGCTAAAAATTAGCCTAAATTAGCTGTGATTGGCTACGTAGTTGACCAACAACTAGTTGAAGGCTTGGCTAAAGGATTAGCCCACCTTTTAGCACTTCTATTTAGATGCATTAAAGCTAATTTTGGTTAATTTTTAGCTAGCTAGTAATTAGCCCTTTTATCCAAAAATGTCCTAAGTTCCTTCATTAGCTACAAGCCAATAAATACCCGACCATTTTCACCTCTACTGTCTGTTCGTCTTCTTTCTTAATAATTATTTTTTAAATGAATTGTCCAATATCAAAGTATTACTAGATCTAGTTTTGTTCTATATAGTACTCCCTTCATTTCAAATTATAAGACGTTTTGACTTTTCAAGATACATAAATTGAATTTACTGTGTATTTAGACATAATATATGTCTAAGTGCATAGCAAAAACTTTGTACGTAGAAAACCCAAAGCGTCCTATAATGTGGAATAGAGGGAGTAGTCTCCAAAATAGAAGGTTTTATTGTAATTTTGAGTAGTTGATATGCACCTCCATAGCAAACACAGGGAAATTCTAATACATACATTGCCTCCTATTTCATCTCTCAACTTTCAGACTAAAAGGTTGCTCAATCCTTAGTCAAAGACCGTAAACTGAATCAATAGAGCATTTTCACCTGTATTGCATAAAAAAATAACATCTAATCCTATGCTTGACTTTTCGACATCTGAAAGAAACATGTAAACTACCAAGCTAGGCTCCGCTTGTGTAGCTAGCTAGGCGGGCCCAAGGCCAGGCGTCTATGAAAAATTATTTATAGAAGAATTGCTGTTAAGCCGTCTGTCTTTAGAAAATGCCCTACTTCTAGAGACTATTTCGCAGAGTCAGTGGACCATGTCGTCTCACGAAAGTGATTTCAGCCGCCTCTATAAAATCTTTTGTAGTGGTGAACTAAATTACAAAAATTCATATTTTGAAGTTCACATTTGGGGAGTTCTAGGGTTATGGAGAGGGAATTAGTTTGAACAAAACAAACACCAAGCTCGTTGGAATTGTGTCCTTGTGTACTAAATGGTTATATTTGGATCAAGACAAACTAGTTCATCAGCCCATGCTCTAACAAGTTCTAGAATTATATGAGGCATAAGTATTTTTTTAGAGGATATGAGGCATAAGTATTAGATGTTCATGTTTAATACCCACAACTACTAAAAATTAGTTATATGTATGTTTTGTGGTCGTGGTCGGTCTTTTGCTGAAAAGGGCACATTTGTTGTTATCTAGGTGTGGGTTTGTGTGGTTCTTTTGTAAGGGATCTTTCCCCATGTTTTGTTCTCTTCTTAATATAACGATACACAGCTCTCCTGCGTATTCCAGAATAAAAAGAAATTTAGATGGGATATGCATACACATACTCAATAATCTCTATTCAGCTATGTGATAAACTTATCAATTACTAATCTATATGATTTTTCATCTATATCCATATTTTTCTCTTTATAGCACCTCCATGTATCTCTAATATGCATTTATTGGAAAGCTTAGCTTCACTTATGATGGCTCTTGTTATAGCGAATATTTTGTAACACCATGAATCTTGTCAAGAAAAGAGATGTAATAAAAGCTGATTTAACTTAATCTAGCTAATGTTTCAACTAAATACATATTATAAACCGACAGTTGTACAATAATGCAAAGAATTAAAAACATATAGTAATTAAGATAGAGTATCTAAATAGGTTGTGTAAGAAATGAATAGAGAGAATAAAAATAATTAATTTTGATTACTTGTACTTATTATATTTATCCATGAAATTTTAAATGCTATGTAAAGTAAGGTTCTAGGCCGTGATGTAGCATGGGTTGATGAGGAAGACTAGGGGAAAAATACACTTCACTTCTTACTGAACTACTTATATTTAAATTTTCTTTTTCTACAACATAACAATATGGCATGTCTGTATTTTTCAGCACACAAATGGCTGGAGCTATACTCATTGCCATTGCGAAGATTAATTCCATTATAGGAGATGATGCCGCCAACGCAACAATAAATAAGCTGTCTGAAAAAGTTCAAGCTCTGAAGGAACTCCCATGGAAAGTGGATCGAATAAGGATGAAACTGACAATCATGGGCAAAATTATACAGCAGATTGGCACAGTCTACCTTACAGATGAGCTTGTCAAGAAGTTGGATTGGGGAGGTCCGGAAGGTGGCTTACCATGTTGAGGATGTAGTAGACAAATACTCATACCATCTTCTTCGACTAGAGGAAGAAGGGTTCCTGAAGAAGTAGTATTTCGTCAAGGGTACCCACTATGTCGATCTTTTCAGTGAAATTGTTGCTGAGGTAGTGGAGATAGAAGGGCAGATTCAGCAAGTTATTCAGTTGAAGGATCAGTGGTTGCAGCCATCCCAGCTTGTCCCTCACCATGACCAACTCGCTGAGATCGAAAGACAGCGTTCCCAAGACAGCTTCCCAGAATTTGTCAAAGATGAAGATCTAGTAGGAATTGAAGAAAATAGAAAACTGCTGACTGGATGGATTTACTCAGAAGAGCAGGCTAGCACAGTGATAACAGTTTCTGGTATGGGTGGACTGGGAAAATCTACACTGGTTACAAATATTTATGAACGTGAAAAGGTCAACTTCCCGGTACATGCTTGGATCGTTGTCACAGATCTACACAGTCGAGTCTCTGCTGAGAAAGCTACTCTGGAAGATTGGGCATATGGAACCACCAGTGCCAAGAGATATATTGACAAAATGGATGTACATGACTTGAAGGAAGAAATAAAGAGAAAACTCCAAAATAGAAAATGCTTGATTGTACTGGATGATGTTTGGGAGCAAGAAGTATACTTCAAAATACATGATGTTTTCCAGACGCTCCAAGAAAGCCACATCATCATTACAACACGAAAGGACCATGTTGGTGCTATTGCTTCCTTTGGCCACCATCTTGAGCTCCAACCGTTGTGTGGGCCTGATGCATTTGAACTTTTCTGTAGAAGGGCTTTCCACAGCAAGAAGGACCACAAATGCCCCGAGGAGCTTCAGGAAATTGCTGGTGAAATAGTGAAAAGGTGTCATGCATGGCCTGCCGCTAGCAGTTGTTACAATCGGCAGCTTGTTGTCATCAAGACCACAAATAAACATTTGGAATCAAACATACAACCAGCTTCGGAGTGAGCTGTCAACCAATGATCATGTCCGAGCAATCTTAAATCTAAGCTACCATGACCTATCCGGAGACCTCAGAAACTGCTTCTTGTATTGCAGCTTGTTTCCTGAAGACTACCCCATGTCACGCGAAACCCTTGTGCGGCTTTGGGTAGCAGAAGGTTTTGTTCTGTGCAAAGAAAATTATACACTAGAGGGGGTGGCTGAGGGAAAGCTCATGGAACTGATCAACCGTAATATGCTTGAAGTTGTGGACTATGATGAGCTCCGCAGGGTTAGCACTTGCAAGATGCACCATATCATGCGGGACCTGGCACTTTGTGTTGCCAAAGAAGAGAAGTTTGGTTCCGCAAACGATTATGGTGAACTGGTACAAGTGGACAAGAATGTTCGTCGCTTGTCGTTATGCGGGTGGAATGTTAATGTGGCACCTAAGGTTAAATTTCCTTATCTTCGAACCATTGTGGCTCAGGGAATAATTTCATCCTCCCCTGACATGGTATCCTCAATTATGTCTGAATCAAACTATTTGACTGTTCTTGAGCTGCGTGATTCTGAGATCACCGAGGTGCCAGCATTTATAGGAAACCTCTTTCACCTTCAGTATATTGGGGTAAGGCGCACCAAAGTCAAGTCATTCCCAGAGTCCATTGAGAAGCTCTTGAACCTCCACACTCTGGATATCAAGCAAACTCAAATAGAGAAGCTACCACGAGGTATTGTTAAGGTCAAGAAGCTAAGGCAACTTTTGGCTGACAGACTTGCAGATGACGAGCAGTCAGAGTTCAGATATTTGGTTGGAGTGGAAGCACCTAAAGGACTGTTGAACCTGCAAGAACTACAGACTCTTGAGACAGTGCAAGCGAACAAAGACTTGGCTGAACAACTGAAGAAACTGATGCAACTCAGAAGCATATGGATCGACAATGTAAGTGCTGCAGATTGTGCTAATCTTTTTGCCACCCTTTCAGCGATGCCGTTTCTTTCCAGCGTCCTAATCTGTGCAGGAGATGTGAATGAGACACTTTGCTTCCAAGCCCTTGTACTGATTTTCCCCACGCTCCACAGACTAATTGTAAGGGGGCGCTGGGCTAATGAGACACTGGAGTATCCAATATTTCGCAACCATGGGAAACATCTAAAATATTTAGCGCTTAGCTGGTGTCAGCTTGGTGAAGATCCATTAGGGTTCCTTGCTCCACACGTGCCAAACCTCACTTATTTGAGCTTTAACAGGGTGAAGAGTGCAAGCACTTTGGTTCTTTCTGCAGGGTGCTTTCCTCATCTGAAAACACTCGTCCTGAAGAAAATGCCTGACGTTAAGCAGCTGGAGATTGGACATGGTGCTCTTCCATGCATCGAAGGTCTCTACATCATGTCACTAGGGCAGCTGGATAAGGTCCCTCAAGGCATCGAGTTGCTTCTCTCCCTCAAGAAGCTTTGGCTTCTATACCTGCACAGAGAGTTTAGAACACAGTGGCTAACGAATGAGATGTACTGGAAGATGCGGCATGTTCCAGAGTTTCGCGTCTAGGACAGGGGACAGCCAGATGGTTGTTTCTGCACTACTATGCTTGTACGGCGTGTCTGTGAAAGAACTATGTTTTTTTTTGTACTTTTTAATCCTTTTTCTTCCTTTAAGTCATGAAATGTTGTCATATCTGGATTTTACTTGCAGACTCAAAACGCTTGCCTTGTGTATCTTCGTTAGACCCATATATGCGTTGTGTTGGTTCAGTAGCATTCGAGACATTTACCCTCTGTATTGAACTTCCATGCAAATGATGTTATGATCAAACTTGCATCTCCATGTATATTGATGTCTTATTGATAGTATGGATTCCCATATCATCACGTCTGGATCGGCTTAAAACTAGGTTGTACATGAGAATGGGAGAAAATCATATTGGTGATACATTGGTTTGGCTGCAGAGTTCTGACTGGTGTTTATTGACCATTTTAAGTTTAGGGGAAAGCTTCAGCTCTTCTAATTTGATGAAATACAATGCTGACTTTTTTTGTTTGAAAATCTAACGAAACGGTACAAAACAATAGGATAACATTGAATTCATGCATCCCAGGCTACAAATTTTTTAGATGATGCTTGTAATCTAAGTAGTAGTAAGAAATAATGAAATTTCAATATTGGATTCTCATTCGACGTGTTTGTATTAGAAAAATGTACGTTGGGCTCTAGTTTTGCATTGCAACTGCAGCTACCAGCCTACCACTAGGCATTACCTTATCAGCTTATCTCCTAAGGAACCAGAAAACAACAGAGCTTTTATGTGCTGCGACCAGTATTGTACGCAGAAATTCATGAACAAACGATCTAACCAGTTACTCCCTCGTCCACAAAAATAATGTTACTATGAAATTTATACAAATCAATCTAACTATGAAATTCATGAACAAACGTGCTAAATGGTATTAATATTGGGCGCCACAAAATATTGATGTTTTTTTTTTGTGACTACAGAATATTTATGTTTTCAACTAGATTTCCAACTAAAATATATTTTATAATTAATTTAATAATATTTATTTTTATTACAAATATGAATACTTTTTTATATAATTTTTCTATCAAAATCTAAACCTTTTTGACTCCTCGAAGAAAAATGATAGTAATTGTATCATTTTGTCGAAGAACCGAGTCGGTGATACACTGTACTACCTACGACATCTCGTGGTGCCCAATAGCGGCGGCCCGTTGGCCGTTGGAGATGGCACCCAATAGTGGCGGCCCAAGATGGCGTCGGGAGTCTGGGACACACAGGCCTGGGCGCTTGGGGCTGACTGGGGACCTGCGCGCGGTTGCCGCCGCCGCCGTCAGGTGTCTTCGCCGCTCGCAGGTTCTGCTTCTGCACCAGTAGTTGCCCCACAGCAAAATAATTTCAGGAGTCCAGACGGAGGACCTCTAGCATTGGATTTGGAGAAGAAGCCCTTGACATCGAAATCGGAGGAGGAGACGACGAGGGGTCGGCGCATCGCTCGGTGGCGGCGACACTACGCGCACGGAGGATGAGGAAGACGCAGGGACGATGGTGTGAGCCACTGGGCACTGGCTGGATTCGGATTGCGGGCACATAGAGGACTTTTCTAGTCCGCCGCCGTCGCCACCGCCGGGCTGGCAGCAGGGGACTAGAACAACAGGCGGCCAAGCGTGCCGCATCGCACCGACGCTGAACGCCCATGGTTTGGAACTCAGGTGATTGCCCACTCCCATCCCTGATCTCTCCAGTATAATTCCTTTTGCGTTGGTTCCAAACTAACACTACTGAACCGAGAACCATCTCCCAGAACAAATCTCCAAACCATCCTTGGCGGCTTTGCCCAAGCAAAAGGCAATGTTTCCCAATTTCGTAACTCATGATTATGTCGCAGTGATTAGTAATCCGTAGAAGGTGTCAAGCTTTTCTAACGTCATCAGTTCATCATGAACCTCTTGAGCAAACCATCAAAGGATCCGTCTTCATTTATATTATACAGATTCTAAAGGCTAAACAAAGTTCAGACTGCAGGAAAGAATCCTGATCTAGAAGGACATGATCATTTGACCTGAGTACTAAATTCAGATACAATGGGAAAAGGATTGTAGCCATGACTCAAAGAGTGGAGCCATTTAGACAGTAGGAGTAACATAAAATTATTGGATCAGATAGTTCGGAGATCCATAATGGAGGAGATTTAATGACTTGCATCAGGAGCACAGTTTAGCTCGTGTCCACATAAATAGGTTTTCCTTTTTATTCCACCCATCATGAAATGGAATATTCTTCACTGTTGTCTGACAAACCGAAGTAGCAGCTCTACCACTAACGAGAACCCTCAACTGAATGGTTCACCTCATGCTGCAAAACAGAAATGGACATCATAAAACAATAGCGACTTATCTTTGGGTAAAAGTACTGCAAGCAATTTGTAGTAACTTTTATTTTCTCATGCCTTTTATTTGCATTTATTTTGTCATAGTACTATGAAATTCAGGTAGCTACAAAGATAAATTGCTAATCCTAGAATAATTGTTTTACAAGACTAAAAAAAGAATTCCCACTTATACGTTATTTCTGATAGTAGGCAGGATTACGACTTGCGCATGAAGTTGGATAGTCCTAACCTTCATTAGGAAACAAATAGCCCAGGCCACTGCCCCTAAATCCAAACAAGTAACGCGTGTTTTGAAATAAAAAATCAGTGACAGTTACATTGTATACAAATGCATAGTGTTTTACAACTTAATAGTTTGGTTAACATGATTTGGAGACATCAGGTGGCAAAGGTAGCTCACATCACTACTGAATAACCAATGCAATTTCTATAAAGTTATTGTTTTTCCTTTTGATGCAAATGATCATGGTTTTGGATAGGAAACACAAGACCAATCAAGAAGAACTGTTCAGCAAATAAGAACTGAGCTTTCACTACTCAGTACAGAGCACATAGGAGTAGTATTTTGTTCTGTATCACAGATGAGTTTATGTTCTTGTTCCTTAAGAGTCCACATGGTCAAACTCGGAAATCTGACCATTTGTTTGTTTGGAACTGTCAAAGACAGGATGCATATTAACTATAACAACTAGATTTCCTATGTACGGTAATATTTCATTTTCAAAGTTACAGGTAATATAAACTTTTAAAAAATATTTTATCTATATTTTACATCAATCATTGCAAAAAGTGAATGGCATCGAGGAAAATAAGAACAAAGAAAAATTTAACTATTCCCCAACTAGATAAGCATGATTTGTAATGTCTAGATTCCTGTACCTGTTTTTGTAAGGTTTTTTGTATAGCAAAAATAACTTAAGCAACTAATACTCGGTCACAAATAAGTGGTGGTTTTGGCTTACTTGCTGCAACTATTTCAAATTATGGTTATAAATTTCTTGTATTTAGTTTTTATATTTAAATAATATGAGTATATTGAACTCGAAAAGTAGTTTCATAAAGGTTCACCTTTCTATGTGTTACAAACATATTTCACTGAAGTGTCCAAGCCAAAAAGTCATTTGTGATTGGAGGGAGTATTTTCCTTAGTATAAAAAAATACTTTTGTAAACAACTTTTCTAAGGTGCTCATTGTCTAAGTATATATTCCCTGCGTCCAAAAATAAATCAACTTCAAGAGTAGCTCTAAGTCAAACTATAAATTTTGACTAACCTTATAGCGAAGAGTACCAACATCATGATACCAAATAAGTATACTATGAAAATATACTCAGGTGTATCTAAATGATACTAATTTGTTATCATAAATATTGGTTATCTTTTCTATAAATTAAATTAAACTTAAGATAGTTTAGCTTAGGACAACTCTAGAAGTTGATTTAATTTGGGACGAAGGGAGTATGGAGAAGATGCTCACATTGACAGAAACATATTACTGTATAGATAATAATCTCTTGTATATTTGGTAGAATCAATACTATCGTATTAAAAGAGAAATTATGTTACCTCCCTATATATCCCATTGGATCTAGTCCTAACACACCCACGCAGATCCTAACTGCAGATCAAAACCTGAATTCGGAAGTGCTATATATAACTGAAAGTGGAATATGTTAACAGTTGGGATTCAACATGAATTTCATTCTCAAATTTGGTTTAGTTTTTGGTTCTTGATTAGTCCGCCCCCAAAACATGGGGTTACTTTTAAGCCGTAATACTCATTCTGGAGTCATGTTTTATACGTTTTTGTATAGGTGGGGTCGGTACTCCTAAAGATAGCATATCTTTAAAGGTATAAGTTATTTTTTTTTAAAAAGTTATTTTCAAAAAAAACTTTAAAGATATAAGGACAGTTTGGATCCCTAGAGGTAATAGTTAGCTCGAGCTATTAGTTGGGTAATTATCAGTTAGATAACTTTTCGTTGTGGGGGGTTGTCATGTGGGACCGACAGTACCAGCACCGGCCCAGGGATCGAGATGCTGCCAGGGGCGCACCCAAGGTGGAGCAGGCTTAGACGATAATCAATGGCAGTTAAGTTAGGGGTTAAAACCCAGGGAGGTGCATGCGCAGCCAGCTGCAAAGCAGGCGCCCGAGGCCAGGCGGCTGTGATCAATGGCATTTAGGAGTTGGTTGGGGATTAGTAGTTATGGCTGGGCAGTTATCAAGGAGCCAGACTCCTATTTATATCATGTAACGTGCTGAGATCGAATCAAGCAAGAACAAACCCATTCCTAATCTCCCTATTCTCTCTTAATTTCATCTCTTCAACATAGGGCGTCCAGGGGATAAACCCCACGCGATTACCAGCCCAAGCTACGAGCTTCGTAGTCGAAGGCCAGCTACCTTAAGCACCAACGCCCTTGACAACCTGGTATCAGCTTCCAGGCGCTCCTCTTCCACCTCTGCACCACCACCAAAACCAGCAGCCACCACGCCTTCCACCCCAGCCTCACCAACGCCCTCCGCTGCCTCCATATCATCACCCATGGCCGAACCAACTACAGCCGACTTGGCCAAGCTCATCCTGTCCCTGACCGCCTCCATCAGCGACCTCTAAGGGCAGGTCGCCGCGCTACAGCGCG